GAGTCCGTCCTCACCTCCTCTATAACCATAGGGTTTGGATTCTCCACCTCACAACACAGAACCAAACTCTAGCACACAATCAGGACAGTGAAGAGGATTATTGGATGCATACTCCTGAGCAAAAAAATAGGCAAAGCTAAAAACATAATGTTTTTTACTGATAGTTTTGGCCTGGTCAGAGTCCAGACTGAAACTCTATAAAGAATATTTGGTCTCACATCAAACTAGCTCTGCAATATTTTTCAACTGTCTGAAGCCATCAACGCTGAGTGGAAAAATACTGACTATGCGGTTGTCTGCAAATTTAAACATAAAACTTGAACTTCTTCATTAAAAGAAATCAAAGGAAAAGCTGTCCCATAATAAGTTACTTAATCTATTTGTTTGGAAAAACAACAGCAGAGTCATGAAACTGGCAAGATTGCAGCCAACCCCTCTCACACTGGACTTCTCTCTGGTAGAAGATTCAGGGCTTTCAAAGCCAGCACAACTAGACAGAGCTCAAAAAAGAGCTTTTTTCCCAGAGATGAGGCACTCATTAACTGCCGTGGACACCCAGCACTTTAAATAGAACTTTGTAAACCCCCCCTTACTGTGGGCCATAACACGATTCCGTGCAATAATGCATATTTGCACAACCGTACACATGTTCATGTCATTCTTTAACATAATCTAAATAGTAGCCAATTTTACGCTTCCTCAGACTATATATATATGTATACATTCACATGTTCACTCTTTTGACTAATTTTGTCTCTTTTTCTATCTAAGTTTTTATTTCATTTTTTAAATTTTTCGCTTTGCTTATATCTTTCTTTGAATATTTGTGAAGTCTGTGTACTTCTCTGGTCCGTTCAGTAAATGGCAACTATATATATATATATATATATATATATATATGTACCATTAGCTAACTGACTGAAAATATGCAACTACTGACTATGCTACAGCTGGTACTGAAGCAAGTGGATTTGTATTGATTTTGCACCAGTGTGTGTTCTTGATTTAATGTTGATGTAATAATATTTTCTGATTACAATTTCAAATGTCAGCCATCTTCAAAGTCAAGGCTAAAAGAAATTCCTCACCAGCACACGGTCCCCCAGCTTCAGCTCCCGTTTTCCCTTCTTGGCCGAGTCTGTCTCGGACAGGTTAGCAACAGAACCACTGGCCGCTGTGGCCAGGTTTGTTGAGGTTTGGTTAGCAGTGGAGGCTTGACCGTCAGCAGCAGCGGTGACAGCAGAGGACACCTGGGCTGGCAAGGTCTGTGCACCATTGGTCTCGCGCTCTGGGACTGGAGCCCGGGACAGTTTAGAAGGACGGGTGAAGATACCTCGTAAGTCTTCGCACTGAAAGTACCGCACTCCAGCCACAGAGCCATCATTCTTCCCTATGGGCTCATCCAAAACAATGCCTGCCCACTGTCCTGGCGCGAACTGGGTCACACCGATGAACTGAACATAGCCCGGCTTATTTCCGTTCACCCACACACGTTCGCCCACAGTGAATTCTGCTACTGAGTCATTAACAGCAGGGGTGCCAGCACCTGGAGATGTTATAGGTTTGGGAGTAGCTGCAAAAAACACACAAAAAAATAAAAAAATTAAACATCAGTCAGTACGTGTCATGTCAGTTACTTACTTTAGAAAGATATCTAAATTTTGAGTGTACAATCTCACCTGAGGAAGGGGAGGTCTTAGTTGGTACACCAGTAGGCTTCCCAATCTTACTGGGTGGCTTGAGACCACTTGGCTTCCCCGTACTCATGTTTCCCTGCCCTGTGCATATAAATGTGCTGGTCTTGCAGGGGAATGGGGAACTTTAGACCTTTCCCAGCATTTGGGAGATATTATTCCTTGAGGGAAAAGAGCAGCAGTGAGGATAACGGAACATATAAAGAATTTATCTTGTCTTTACCTTGCCTTTATTTATCTACTCTTTTGCTGTAATTCAAGGAGGACTTTTCTTAACCATTTTTCTTATTATGACTGTCTCAGCCTTGGATGTCATGCATTGTATCCCATGTCTCTTACAACAATATACAAACCTCAATTCAAAAATATTTGGGACAGTATGTGAAATGTAAATAAAACAGTGATTTGTAATAAAGGCTCCGCATGGTTGTGCCGCTTAAACTCGTGTAACAGAAAAATGACACAAGATTCCGCTTTTAAAACTGGATCAACTGGTGTCCCAAGATTTTAAAAGCTCTTCAAAGGAAAGGTGACGTAACACAGTGGTAAATATGCTCCTGTCCCAACTTTTTTGGAACACGAAGGCATCAAATTTGGAATGAACATATATTTACAAATACAAAAGTTCATATGGTAAAATATTACATTTTCAATTTAATTCAGGTCAAACCAATTTTACTAATCTCTGCTCTCTGTTTTAAAAGCATTTCACATACTGTCCAAACTTTTGGACATGACATAAAAGCCCTGTATGAGCGGGAAACAAGACTGTCTGTTGTTACATTCACTTACACAGCAGACTGCGTGAGCTAACCAGCTGTTTAAACTTAACAAAGAACACTGTATGCTCAAATGAGATCATTCAAACGCAATTACCAAGTTGTTATTCAGTAGCAACATTAAGACACGTTAATAAAGCTGTGCGCAAGAACAAATCCATGTAACGTTAAAGGTGTTAAGTAAAACAAACAAAAAAGAGTGCCATCATAATAACACAGAGGACCGGTCCATTTCTTTATTTACAGACCAATACTCATATATTAATGACACATTTAAAATAAATAGTTCATAAATAATCTGTATTGTGTATATTAGCACATATTATCATCCCTGTGGTTAATAGTTTTGACAAGGAGCTAAGGCATCTCGCTATCCACACCAAAATAACCGAGACATTTGTTTTCCTCTAGCACTTTTTTGCCCACCCTGCAGTTAACCTTGGCCAGTTAATATTTTTGTGCTTTCGAGTTTGCAAAACGTGTATCTCAACGTTAGCAGTAAATATGAACAGGACAATGATTAACCTAAAGCCTTTTTGCGTAGCCAAGTTCAGCGGTAATGCTAGCTAACTGGCTAGCCAGCCACGTAACCAACCTCAACACAATAATTAATACCGTTGCGTTGAGCTGAACTCGTTTGAAGTGGACGAATCCGCCAACTATAGCCGGCTAGCTTCACTATTTAACTAGCACTTTAATGGAAGTGGACATGTCTTACCTTTGACAGGCAGCACCCCACCCCGCCAGTGCAGGAATGTTATGGCTCCATCCCTGTGGTGCGCTCCGTTACTTTAGTTTTTCCCATACGGGCTGTAGACTGAAGGGTGAGGCCGAGGCCAGAGGCGCTAGCAGGCTATGCTAACTGCGCGAACCACAAAGCTCCATCCTCTCACACCCAATGAACCCGCTTAAGCTACCTAGCTTAGCTTAATATGGCGCAGTAAGTTGGGCGATCATCGACAAAGAGACCAAGTTTGATGTTTGCCTAAATAACGCTTCTTAAAATGGCTCTACGTATGAATATTTACAGTTTAAAGACACTCACTGGCATGAGAAAACTGCAAGCGGGCTGCCTCCCTGAAAAGCCAGCTAGCCCGAGTCGCGTTGCTATGACAACAGGCGAGCTGCCAGCACCAGCGCGGTAAAGATGGAGCGCGCGCCTGTGTTTAGGTTTCTTACCTGCAATAAAACGGAGCTCCAGATCAAAGCAACGCACTTTTTACACACTGTTTTGCACTCTTTCGCTTCAGAAAAGTCCAGATCAGTTTTGTGCGCAATCTGGAGAGAACACAGGTGGAAGGCTGTTGTCACTAGTGGCCGCTAGTGATGGAAAGGACAAAGAAATAAATAGTTTCCACAGGAGGGCGGCACAAGCACAAGTTTTGCAAAACGAACGGGCTTTAGCATAGGACTTTAAAGGGAACTCTATCGGTTTTTAAAAATTCGGCGTAATCAAATGCTTAGGATGTAAACAAAGTAATTCAGAGTGGTTTGGTGTGAAATTCTCTGTTCTAGAGAAACTTGCAAGAGTCAGAATTGTTCACAGTGGTGGTAATAGGAACCAGACGTCCAACTCTAAAAGCTCCCTTACAGACAGTTATTACATTAATTGTAATTGAAATACTGATGTCTGATGTGATAAAGTCGTGGCCTAATTAAAAACGTATTTTAATCAATTTATTTTAATCCATTTGTGGTACCTGCAAACGCATTTACATTGTGACAATGTTATGACAACCTTTTGTTTTGGTTGTTGCAACATTGAAATGTAATTCCCCAGAAAGTTGTGATAGTGTTATCTGACAACATGGTGACAACTTAGTGACTACGCTGTCAGTACGCTGTCACAACCTTCTAGAATCCTCATAAGTTCCATTACAGTGTGCATGGAACTCCGTGGAATTTTGCTAAGTTGCAGATAGGTCATAACGCCTTATGGCAACGTTACCGAATAAGAGGTTGTGACAACATCGTGAGAACTTTAGACCTAAACGTAAACAGCACCACCTTTTGACAAAGTTGAAGCAACGTTGTAAGAAATGAGACAACGTTGTTACAATGTTGTGTGTTTGCTGGGGTGGAAGAATACATGACGGGTGTTCTAAGGCAACATAGTCCCCAAAGAAAACTCGTTTTTTCAGATTGACCATTATTTTACCATCTTCAACATTACATATAAAAACTCAGAAGACTCATGTAGGTTCACTGGTGATTTTGGATAGTAAATATAATGGCTATATTTATGTTGTAGACATAGTGACCTCTGGTTCCTATCACCGTCACTGTGGTGATGAACAAATGAACCATTTGTTATGATGTCAAGCTTGTAACAATAGAAAACCCCTTTTTGATGCTATATGGAACCCTTTTTAAAAAGGTTCTATATATATATATATATATATATATATAGAGAGAGAGAGAGAGAGAGAGAGAGAGAGAGAGAGAGAGAGAGAGATAGATAGATGCAGTCAATGGTGTAAACCAGCAACATGCCCCTTTAAATCCGCCCTCAGTTGGTGGGCGTTCCTCCTGCTTCTCTACAGGCTGCAATGACACTAGTTAGGCAGAAAAATATGAGTCACTGAAATATGCCGAAATATTTCTTCGCAGGGAATCACCAGAACAAGAAAGGACGAGTAAATTATATTTTGTGGTGTATTTTTGAAAAAGGCGAATGGAAGGTAGGCGGGAATTCGCATATCTTTACAGTGAACGAACAGCGATGGAGATGGAGCTAATCTATCCCATTTCTACTGATAGCTACGTGATGCCTAATTTTTAAAACATTATATTCAATAATCAGATGTGGAAATGTTAATTTTTATTAAATGTTTCATTTTATTTTACCAAAAGAACATGCGTGTAACGTTTCCTCTCGCACATTCCAGCAGCTTCCATCTACGGTGCAGTTTGTTTTCTCTCTGTGTAGTCAGTGTGGCGGGCCTGGCTAGTGGGCCACATTTCTCATCTATTCAAAAAATTACCGCCTTTTTTGTTACGTTCTTACCACAAAGTGTAGGCCTACGTTTAAAGCTTAGTCTATAAACCTTCACTAATGCTCAGTTAGTTTCTTTATTCTATCTGTTTGTTCAGTGGCTTCAGTAATTTTCTATGCTATTTTGCTAACCTATGTTTGTTTATTTCACAGAGCCCCACTGAAAATCACCACAGATGGCGTTTATGTCCAGATTTTCACGGTCACGAAGCAACTCCAGGTCTCCGAGCAGAAGGGAGTCAGATAAAGGGTCACCTGTTCTAACCATTTCTGAACTTGAGCGCCTTCTTTACACGGGAAAAACAGCTTGTAATCATGCGGACGAGGTGTGGCCAAGGCTTTACATTGGCGACCAGTGAGTACTTCGCAGCTGCTAACTTGGATATTACCAATACCTTTTTCGGGTCAATAGCATGAAGCTAAAATGGTGTCACTTTAAGTAGAACTCGGTGTTTCAAAATTTCTGCATAATTAAGTGGTTCAGATGTGAACAAAGGCATTCAGAGTGGTTTGATGCGAAATGCTTCATTCTAGAGAAACTTACACAGAATTGTTTACAGTGGTGTTGATAGGAACCAGACGTCTCAGGAGCTTAACGCCTCTTGAAGCTCCCTCACAGAAAGTTATTACACGAAATGGCCATGAATACGCTGCCTGGTGTCTGAGACATTGTTTCACAGTAGTTTTATGATAAAGTTTTGGTTTAGAACATAATTTAATCATTTATATTAATCCATTGATAGTGGAGGGGAACATGAGGGGGGTTTTAAGGCGAAATGTATTTTTTCAGATTGACCATTAATTTGTCATCATCAACATTACATATAAAACTCAGAAGACATGTGGGGATCACTGGTGGTTTAGGATAGTAAATAAAATGGCTATATTTATGTTGTAGACATGGCGACCTCTGGTTCCTATCACTGCCATGGTAAAGAAATCAGAGACTGTAAGTTTCTCTGCAAATGAACCATCTCACATCAAACCACTATGAATGACTCTGTGTGCCTCTCAAGGACTTTGAATTGTGTAAATTGTGGAATTTACCTTGAAGTTACCTCAGATATTTAGACCTGGTTGGTTCCAAAGTATGTTTGTGATACCAGCTGTTTGGATTTGATGAGAAATGGACATAAGTAATTACTTATTTATTTTCAAATGAAATTACATTGTTCTTCATCATTGTAGTATGGCAAGTAAGTGTAATATTAACCTATTAATGCCAATGTTGTACTTAACATAATAGAAAATCCTAATTTGAACAGAATTAAAGTAGGAAAATTATACACAATCAAAATACAAAAAATCAAATTGGTGCCGTTGGTATTAATCCAGTGTGTAAATATAGAAAACCTCATCACACTATATTGTCAGGAAAAAGAAGTACTGCAAAATAGATTTTTGCTCCTGACTGTATGATGTAAATGTACCCGTAAAGGTACAACATGGTCCTTAAATGGGAATTCAACTGATTTTTCAAAAATTCTGCATAATTAAATCATTGAGATGTAAACAGTACTTCAGAACGTTTTCATTTGAAAAAGTTTATTGAGAAGCTTACTGACGATGGTGCAATAGGGATAAAAAAAAAGTTTTATTCAGGGATTATTTTACCACACAACATCCCAGAACATAGCCTCAAAACTATTGTAAAACAATGTGTCAGGCGTCAGGCAAAAAACATTCTGTGGGGGAGCTTAAATGCTTTAGACGTCTGTTTCCTATCACTCCCACTGTGAAAAATTCTGAATCACATTTACAGACATCAGTTATTTGATTAACTAAATTTAACGTCAAGTAATTTTGTTACTTATATTATTATTTAAATAAATTGTGTTTGGCTTACTACAATATAGTTACACATTAAGATCCTATAGCCACCTGCTTATCACAACTAGAAGTAATAGTTATCTGTGGGCATACACTGTTTTTCTTTGAGAAATTAATTAGTTTTAAACAAACAATCTTTCAGGGACATTGCGTCAGACCGACGGGAGCTTATAAAGCTCGGGATCACGCACATCCTCAACTGTGCTCAGAGCAAATGGCGAGGCGGGGCGGAGTACTATGAGGGCATGAACATCACCTACCACGGCATTGAGGCCCACGATTCTCCATCCTTCGACATGAGTGTCAACTTCTACCCCGCCGCAGAGTTTATTCATAAAGCACTCAGCATGGGAGGTTAGTCATTCATGTTAATTGTTTCGATTCTAAACTAGTCAATACCACATTTGTGTTTGTAAGCAGAAGAAGAGATATTTTAATAGGATTTGAGTTTGATTAAAAGGTATTATATCGTGTACAGTCTTGTTTTGTGGAAAGAAAAGTTATTTTTACATCTTGCCATGTTTTGCCATTTCTTGACATTGAAACAAATGGAAAAAAAAAAACAAAAGTTGGAAGATAAGACTTGACCCTCTATAATCTGAATCAAAATCAAATATAAATGCATTTAAGGTCTGTAAGTTCCGCCCAATGACAGCTGGGATAGGCTCCAGCACCCCACTGCGACCCAGAAGGATAGGCGGTTTAGATGATGTGTGTGTATGTGTGTATGTGTCTGTAAGCCTCGTCATGGCCTGTATTAACCTTTTAGAGTAAAATCTCCATTTAAAATGCTGTCTAGTCTAGGAAACCAGCCTTTAATTTTTGTAACTATACATTCAATTGTGTAATTACATGATTGCAACAATACATTCAATAGCATAACAACAGCAATGACACTTTTTTTGTTTTTTATAATTTTTACCAAAAAAGGATGAAGGATCATCCTGTCCACCATGGGAGGCTGTGGCGTCACTGGGAAAAGAACTCACAATCTCCCAATGTTGTGGCCAATACGGCTGCTCAGTAGCACCTGACTCTAGACTAATAATTGAATTCAAGGGAACTTTAAACATCCCCAGACTATCCCCAAAGGGTAATTGGTGGCAGGCTGGCACATACATAACATAAAATAATAAAGATAAGAGAACCATCAAGAAAAAACAGACCACCCAAAATATTTTAAAGCTATACAACCATATGGTTCTTCATATACAGTATTGTGCAAATTTTTAGCAAATAAGCAAAATAATTATAAGCATTTAACTAGATAATAGAAAAATTAACCATATACAGTTAAACAAGAATTTCTCGCTTTCCAACATGTATTTGATATCTTGTCACCTAGTTCGAAGAACTAAACCACAGTGGTTCCAGATTTCTGCCTGATACTTCCAGCCATCCTATGGATTTCTTAAATTTAGTCACCAGTACACCTGATTTAATGTAGCATTGATTTCCAAACCAGGTTTTGGATGATAACTATCTTCCACTGAACTACATCACTGGGCTTCCTCAAGAAGAGGTTTGGAAAAGGTTAAATGAACACACTAGCCACATTTACATGCAGCCTAATAATCTGTTAATAATCCGACTAATAGCTTAATCGGAATAGAATACGTAAATGTATACACCTCAATTGGAAATAGACTAGTCCGATTGAAGCCATTCGAAATGCAATTTCTATCCAATTGAACGAGGTGGGTGATCCTGTAAATAATCCATTAAATAGAAGAATAATAGCCATGTATATGGCTGTATCTAATTACATTCCTACTTGGAAAGTTTAAGTACGTTCTGCGTGTGCATGTGTGTTCAAATCATAGCGAAACTTTATAAGCGTCCAGCTTATGTGTCTCAGAACATGACGTCTTCCTCTCGCCCTTCTTTAATAAGCAAATGTGAAGTGAGTCTGTCATAATTCTAAAGCAATTAAAAACACAAGCACTGCTCACTGCTGCTCGTCTCACTCTGACTGGAGTCACATGATGCTCGTTGTCTTGGTAACGTCTACACTAAGTGGTACTCTACGCATGCGCGTAATTTCGGATCAGATGACTTGAACTGTGTGAATCTAAATGGAAATTTCCATCAGATTGTTGAGTAGAGTGAGCATATACACCTCAGTCTTAAACTATAATTGGAACATATTCAATCGGATTGACAAAAACCTTTGCATGTAAAAACAGCCACTGACGTGTAAAATCACTACTAATTGTAGTAATATTATTTGTATTTATTGAAATATTAGCATCTGTGCAATAAATGCTTGCTGACCAGATAAATCGTTTTTTTTTTACTTTTATAATATATATTTTTTAACCTAAGGGTTAACTTATATATACTTAGATATAGCTAATATCTAATGCAGTGTTGTTCTGTTTATATTGTGTCTGTTTGGTGCTTGCTTTGCAGGAACGGTGTTGGTGCACTGTGCAGTGGGGGTGAGTCGCTCAGCCACTCTGGTGCTGGCCTACCTTATGATTCGACAGAACATGACTTTAGTAGAGGCCATAAAGACTGTCAAAGACCACCGTGGAGTCATCCCCAACCGTGGCTTCCTCCGACAGCTCAGTGGCCTGGATAGTATTCTCCGCGCCAGCCGAAACGCAACATAAAACCACTGGTAAAGTTTGAACTTCCACTCCGAAACCATTGCCTTGGCCAGCGTGTGATTTATAACAATGGTACGAGTGTAATACGTACAGTACAGTCATTCCCACTGTTGTCCTGTGATCAGTAGAAATGCCTTACTACATTAAGACCTCCTGAGGTGTGCATACAGCCTTATCCAGTACTAACCTTTCACCCTCCGCTCAAACGACCACGTCACTGAGCACTACTTGTCAGTTCATTTTTATTTTTCTTTGAGTGACAGCCACAAAGGAGCCCCCAAAGCAAAATAGAGTGACAGCTGTCCTGTGCGGGTCAAGCAGTCTTAATGCTATAGCAGTGTATTTGAAAAGGCTCTGAATTGTCTCATTATCAAAGTAACATGCTGGAAGGTTTGAACTGTCATAATATCCAAAGATATACAAAGTATTAAAGAGTAAACAAGTGTGGAACCACCACACTGGATGGACGTAACTTCTCTATATCTTACAAAAGATTATAGCGCTTAAGGATACTGACTATAAGCTGCTTATTCAGCTTTTAAAAATTGCACCTTTATTTTATGACCAGCAAAGTTAAAGGAATTCTCCAGCACTTTAACCAAATCTGTATCTACTGCATCAATAACCTATGACTGACAGGCATGGACAAACATTTTGATGTGTTTCCTTTCACTGATAAAAGAACAGAAACCAGTTAAGTCTTAACATACCTATAACAGAAGCCGGTAGGCAGTTTCTGAATTCCATCAGTTGTTTTTTGACACTTTCATGAATTCTCCAGTCAAAAGTCATCAGTACAAATACAACTTATTCATTTTTCAGAGGCAGGAAAAAAGCAGAAAACATATAAATAATGTAAAATTACACAAAAGCCTCAACAGCTAAATATAATGCAAACAATTTGTCTTGAGAACAGCTTCCATTCCTTTTGGAGGCCTGTTTTCAGTTGTTCAAAGAAATCTGCAGGGATATTTTTTAACACCTCCAAAGTTCAGTCTTAAGCCTAGTTTTACCAGAGGAGAGCCGGAAACGTAATTTGTGTGTGATTTGACAGGCCCATTCGTACGGCATCAAGGATCTCTGTAATCTCCCTAAATTACCTCAAATAGTCAGAGTCGAAAAATCATCACGTGGATGTTGGCTTCAGCATTTTCAGTCAAAAATAAACCACAAAACTTAAGCGATGTGTTAGTGTATCGTTGTATTTGAGTTGTCTTCTAACGGTAGAAGGATGGACAGAAACACCTGTTCGTTTGTTCATGTATGAAGCAAGAGTGGAGCTTGATTTTCTCAAGATGAAAGCTTGAAGTACTGTCTATCTGAAGGAGATGGTCTTGGTGGTCTACCAGGTCTTGCACAGTTGTTAGGGGTCCCATTCTCATGTCTATCTCATCCTAAGACCTGTATTGTTAACATAATGTGTGTCAGGGTAGTAGTTTTGAATTCATTACATACAGTTACATATTTCAAATGTTTATTCAAGGAATTCAGGAAGTGCTTCCAATGGCTTTAGAGTTAACAGGTTACCTGTTCATTTACTAAATACAGCGGAACATGTTGAAAGTATTGTCCATGGAATTTGATGGTACAATACAGATGCAGCAGCTTGAGATTAGGTTGAAAAACGCTGCCGTATTCCTTTAAGATACATTGAATTATGACATGATGTAACGACATGATATAAACATCATTTATGCAACTATCTTGGTGTCTTGCAGCTCTTAATGTAGCAGTAATGTGGCACCCTTTTGTACTGGGTGCATGCAATATGACACAGATCTGCAGCAACACTCCGTATCTAACACTTCTTGCTATAAAGCAATGAAGTATCAGTTACTACGTTCAGTTTGCTCTTGAAATCACCAGGAAATGTGATTAACAAAGAATTTTATAATATTTTATGTGTAATTGGTTTACAGTTAGATTTGTCCTACTGTTAAGTATTCAATGTAATGCTAATTATCAGGCTACTACAAGTTTTACTTGTTTAGTATTTGTTTATTTCTTAAAGTCACCAAAACAAAAAAAGAAATCTTAAATATGAAATAAATGTATTATTTAATAGCTTGGACTTGAATTTGTATTACAACTTTAGGAGCTGGGACCACAAAAACCCTGTATGTCAATAAGTTGAACTCTACTGCACACCAATTTGTGTCTTATGAATAGTTTCTCTGCACTCTTTACCATCTTAGAGAGAAACAGATTTCATAGACCCTGTTTACACCTGGTTGGTTCATGTGACGTGTATCTGGAGTGTAACTTGGCTGAGCCTTTAACCACATATAGTTACACTTGGTAGTCAAACCCATGTACTGTTAGGCAGATTTAAATCTGATTGTAACAAATCGTATTCAGAGTGTTAGAGGAGGGTCAGCGCTAAACTCTGCAGCACTTTGGCCCAGCTTGATATGCCTGCTGTAGTTACTGAAAAATAAGCCTTAGTACAAAGTAAGCCTGGGATTTTTAGGGGGGTTAATCCATTATTAGTCAATTAATTTGCACAAATAAATCGACTAGTAATTGCGTTACTACACTGTGCTAATGACATATTACTTTGTGGTTTGTCAGGATGACCAGAAGAGTATTAAAAGTGTTGAAAACCACTTTCAGTCTGGTCATGTTGAGCAGTGTAGCCTGAGTGCAGGTCAGCTTGTAGGGCTAGCACACTGGCAAAGTATGCTGCAAAGTTTTTGTATGTTTTTAAGGAGGCTGCCAGTCTAATGACATCAGTTCGGTGCGCAGTAGCATTTACTTTGATTTAGCAATATTCATATTACGACTCTTTAATGACCTCATAATTCAGAGGATGCGGTTGCACTCAAAAGAAAAATGTTATCGACATTTGAACATTTGCGACAGAGGCATTTTTCAAAAACTCCATTCATTTTTCCCATAGAGAGGTTCCTTGACTACTCAGTCGTGTCAGTACTCAAATTTTCCATTCCACCTTTAGTGATGCAGCAGTTACATTCTGGCACCTGTAAGAAGCTAACTTAGAGGATCCATTTACTCACTATTCTGCTGCTTAAAATCTACACCCTTTTTTTCTGAGCGATGGTAACGTTTTGCTTCTGTGGAAAGTCAGTGGAAGTCAGACTATCATGTGTTGTATTCCACTACTTTACCTTTGCTGCTTCATTTTAAGAAAATGCTCCCAGACTTCTTTTTTAACTTCCAGGCATAATTATTATTTTTCTTTCGCTGATCTGCCTGTTGCCTCACAGTACGAAGGGTTCAGGTTCGATTCCCTTGGCAGGCGACCAGGGTCCTTTCTGTGTGGAGTTTGCATGTTCTCCCCGTGTCTGCGTGGGTTTCCTCCGGGTACTACGGTTTCCTCCCACAGTCCAAAGACATGCAGTCAGGCCAGTTGGACACGCTAAATTGCCCCTAGATTTGAATGTGTGTCTGCCCTGCAGTGGACTGGCGACGTGTGTTTCCTGCCCTTTGCCCAATGACCACTGGGATAGACCACTGCCATCTTCAGGTTAAGACATTAACGCACTCTTGGTTGAACATCTTTGAAAATGTAAACGAAAAATCGACAGTAAAAATATTTGTCGAAGACGTTTTAAATTGTTGATAATATCGCTACACACAAACACGTCATCTAAACCACTTATCCTTCTGGGTCGCAGTGGATAACATCGCTAATGTTGAATAGTTATTTCAGCCCTAGTTAAAACGTAATGTAGCAAGACAGTGAATAATTACATGGTGAAGTAAAGATTAAACAAAGTGCTGCTTTATTTTAACTAGCATGAACTGCTGAATGCTACTGAATTAAACTCATGACAAGAACTGAACACAAGGAGCAGTGATGCCTCTGCTTAGTGACAACAGTCCAGTGGGCATGTTTGGGGGCCATATATGCAGAACAATAGAGGGAGATAGCGTCACAGTATTGGGAGGGGTTCTGGTTGTTGAATGTCACTTGGAGAAACATATGTATTTACACTTGTGTAGAGCTAAAAGAGTGAGACCTGAAGTGGTTTAAGTGATCAGATTTAAATCTGTTTAAAATGCCCTTTGGGTGAATCTACGCCTGCATTTTTATGTGGATAATCTCTGTCCAGACATAATCCCGATTCTCAAGACGCATGAAGCGACCAGGTGTAAACAGGGTCTAGAGTAGTGAATATACTCCTTATGTATATGTATACGAACTTAGGTATTTCTGAAACAGTGATTTGAAGTGACAAATACCTCAATTGTGATGTTTTACCTTGTTTACCTTGTCAGTATTTGTAACATGCTACACTGTCAGTCATTCTCTGGACGATGTAGACGTCTGTTCTTTGCCACTGAGCTGTATGTGGTGTGAATAGGCCTGAAAGTTTTGATAGCAAGTCATTAGAATTAGAACTGTGATGGTACGTTGTATAGATCTCTTTTTTTGAGGTGTCTTGTGAACAGTTGTGTAACATAGTTGTTTATGGTGTTGTGACAACAGGACATATTTATGTATATACCATATGTACGAGCTCAACTATATGAAGTTATGAAGAAATAACCCAAGATTTCACTGGACAGCCCGCGGTGTTATGAACCTGAAGTATAACATGAATCAAACTTATCCATATACAGTATTATCTTCAAGAGTATCATACAAAAGCAGCTGGGCGCTGTTTTAAAGGGTTACTAAAAGCCAGCATCATGTATTCCAATCGTACAATACTGCCTACGTTCTCTGTGATGGCACCTTCTGTGTAAAACCATTTGTCCTATTTATTGTCATTTATTCTTATTTCATCGGCGTAACAGTGGAGTAGGATTTTAACCAATCTGAATGAAGAATCAGTAGCATACCAGACTATGTAAATAAAGAGTGAGAAAACAGAAAACTGTGGCAAACATCTAGAAGCTGTTTGTGAAAAGTTCAGCAATAGATTGTTGAGCAATCACTCTATGAATACAGAATGCTGCAGCCTTTCAGTGGGTTTATGGTATGATTGCATTGGGTTCAAAATCTTGGTGATGTACGTAATCTGTCAGTACATATTATGTCAGTATTATATAAAGATGGATTTCATGTTCTGTGGTGTTCCTTTCTGTGCCTGACTGTGTCCCTCCATTCTCAAACACCCTTTCTATAGCTATACTTGAATTATTTTTGATGGATTTAATTTTTTTATCACTTGTTCTATGGTAAATAAAAACAAGGACAAAATTGAGGTGTAAACTGTGTATTATTTCAAATATGTATGTTTTTAGAATTTTTGAAATATTGTACACTGAAAACACTTACATTTAATCCTTACAGCTTCAAAAGGTTGTGAATGTGGGCAAAATAAAAAATGTTTAAAAATACTCATATAAAGTTGGTGCTTCAAGTAAAGAAAATGGTTCTATATAGAACAATGAACACTCAAAGAACCCACTGTATGATTAAAGGATTCTTTGCATCATGAAAGTGTCCTTCGGATTGATAGAAAATGTCCATGAATGTGCTGTAGACAGTTCTGTATAGAACCTTTTTGGAAAGGGTTCTATATAGCACTCAGAAGGGTTCCTCTACTGTTTCAAGCTTGACACTATAAAAATAGAACAACCCTTTTGGCTTCTATATAGAACCATTTACAGCACATTCTGCATCAATCTGAAGAACACTCTCATGATGCAAAGAATGCTTTAATCATGCAAAGGATTCTTTGAGTGTTCATGGTTCTATTAAGAAACATTTTCTTCACTAAAGAACCCTTGAAGCACTATATTTCTTAAGAGTGTAGGCTGAGAGCTGACAGAAACTTTAAACCACAGTTAGTACTTGGACTTGGTAAGTACTGAATGACCAATGACAAGTAGTAATATAATGTAATTACAATTATAATATGAGAATATATATAAAGTTCCAAGGAGAGTCTGCCTTCTTGTAAATTCCATTTCCAAACCATGACAATTAGAGCTTGGATATCACGTCGGTCCATAAGTGTCAAAACACTAAACCCACGTCTATGAGAATGTTCATTTCTATTAGCACCCCATGTGATTTGTGATTAGTGGTATGTTAGTGGTAAGTTAACGGTGGTGAGATAAGCTTGAAGCTTGTGATTGACATTAAGATGTATTTTGCCTCATATGTAGCAGTTTGACGGTGACTCAGTAAAGAGTCCTGGCGTAGAGCTACTTCTGCTGTTTTCTGTTTCTAACAAATCAGCGTAAAGCCTATTGGTTGGACTACCACTTGTATTCACAGTGAGTGACGTATCTAAGACTTGCAGAAGGCTTAGAGCAGAATATTTCAGCAGACCAAAATTGAGCCCTCGATAGCACTTGTTAGCAACCTACATGGATATGAACCAGCACTGCTTTTGTAGCAGATTGGTATTACAATTTATCCAATCCAGTGCATTTATGTAAACAATTTAGCCAAAGGCAGCTCAGTGGAACAGAGACTAGCTACCGGCTAGAGATCATATCATATTTTCTTTTTATTTTATTTACTGTCTCTGGTCTGAGCAGTGAAGCGACAACATAGCTTGTTAAAAAAGGAAAGTTCATGACGAAAACAGCATTTAAAACAAATGAACAGAAGACTGTGCTTTTTTCCCTCTGGTCAATCTCAGAATTGATGTGTCTCATCTGTTCAGATTCTATGAAATATGTCAAAAGTGGAAATGTTAAGCGCCACCGACAAATCACTTCAGGCACTTACAGGCACACCAGGAGAGATGAAAAAAGCTGTAGAAATATGTCAGTCTGGAAAGGGTTACAAATCTATTTCTCAGGTTATAATGGTATCACAGAACCACAGTGAGGGACATTGTCTACAACTTTAGAACCATAGGAACCTTGGTGAATCTTCCCAGGAGTGGCCAGCCTGCCAGAATTCCCCTAAGTGCACAGTGGCAGATCGTCCAAGAAGTCACCAAATGTTCCTTGGAGAACGTCCAAGGAACTGCAGGTCTCTAGACTCAGCTAAGGTCAGTGTTCATGACTCTGCAGTAAGAATGGGACTGGGCAAAAGCAGCATGTATGGAAAAGTAGCAAGAAACATCAGTTCTCACCTCACATTTGCAAGCACTTGGGAGAAACCTTAAGCCTTTTGGGATAAAGATATATGGACAGACAAGTCTCTACACTGTTAGAAATAAAGTTTCTGTGCAGGTACATTTTTCATTCATCAAGGTACAAACAATATAAATGTTCCCTCAAAGGCACAACAGGGGTTTTAAGGTCCAACTGTGAACCTTAAACAAGTTTTTCCAGGTGTAAAGTACGTATTTGTACCCTCATAACTAATGTTTTAAAACAGAACATAAAATGAAAGGCCTGGAGACGAGACGGGTGTGTGGAGTACAACTGAGAACATTTCTAAAGGTACTGGGATGTACACTTGAGGGTACCACCCCAATGACAAGAGTGGTACTGCCCCAGTGACAGT